AACTGCATTCTTTCAAAGAGGTCCTTTGCTACTTTAACATTGGCTTCTGCCATTGTATTGGGGACCGCCATGACCATTCGTTATGTATCCTTGACCAAGATTTTTATACTTATGCCCAGAAAACTGCCCCACTGCTGTGCTGGGAGCGAGACGCTTGGCCAGCACGAATGGCTTGGACAGGGCGGTGCGTGCGGCTTTGGGAAGGCTGCGTCGGGCAGCGGGAGCTCAGGCTCAGGAGACATCGTGGCCCCCAATTCCCGGGGGAGCGGGACACCCTGGCACCGCTGCCCAACCTTCCCGAGCACCTGCCCGCCCCGCGGGCCCTCCTGGGAACCCTGTGCTGCGTGTCCTGGCCCTGTCCCCAGGCTCATCTCAAAGGTGCCCAAGGTTGTCGTCCCCTCTCGCTGCTGTGCCCACTGCCCTCAGTGCCTCGCAGCTTGGTTCTGTTTTCCGTGCATCTCCCGGATACGCACCCGGGCAGCAGCCCTGCGTGTCTAAGGCTGTTTGCCAGGAAGCTGCTGACACGAGCGCAGCAAAATACTTGGCATCACTCATCTCTCCATAGCCAGAGTGCTGTGGAGAGGGGAAAATCTCCTCCTCTTACCATCCAAACCATCACTGCTTGCTTTGTTGTGGGGTGCCTACGTGGCCGAGGGTACCCATGCAGCCAGTTGCTGGGCTTGCCCTGCTTCCCGGTTTTCCAAAAGCCATTCCAGCTCCATTTCTTTCCTTGCCTTAGCGCTCCTCCCGGGGTGCAATCAGACTCCTCCAGTTCTCTTCCATACACTGCGGATAGCTTCCCTCTTTGCCAAAAAGCATCCCGAGATCTTCCCAGGGCTTCTGGGTCCAGTGACCCGCAGGCCGTGTTCACTCGTCCTGCTCCGTAGGGCTTTGTCCAGATCAATCCTACTAAGATTTTCTATTTTCAATGAGCATCACGGATCCGTGTTAAGTGTTTCATGGCAAATTCCTATTGTTCTGGGAAAAAAAAGGCTTCCAGCGCCGTCTGGACCATTTCCGAATGTCTTTGCTGCTGCTTTGGATAAAAATCTGAGCAAAATTTTGCCATTTCCCCTCAACCTTTAATTCACTTCTCATCATTTTTGACTAGCTCTGTTATGCTGTAAGACAAGGAACAGAAACCTGGATGTTTAACATTTAACAATGTCTTATTGTCTCGTTGCTCTTGGAAAAGGGAATGGAAGAGGAAAAGCCTCCCATACAGCTGTAAACAAAGTAGAAGGAAGTGAGTTCACTGTCCAGGGGAAAGCACAGCACTCCCACGGAGGAGATTTTGATTTTGGTTGTGGGGAAATGCCCCTCTGCTTTATTCCTGAGCAGCTCTTTGGGTGCTGCAATGCCAAAAATTGCACGAGGAAAGGCCAAGCAAGCCCGTGGTGTCCTCAGTGCACCTGCCTTGAGAGTGACTGTGGTGAGGATAGGGATGAAGGTGGCCCATAGCCTGCACAGGGGAAGATCGATGGCAAAGTTTGTGCTGAGTTCAGTGACGCACGCTTGGACCTGCTAGGGACAGGGCCACACTGAGTCGTTCCTTTTCCAGGGATTTCCAGGGTTCCCAGTGCCAGAATCCTGCCTGTCCCCATCCATGGTGCCCCCTGCCTGCTGCTCCCAATCCCAGGCTCTCCAGAGCCCTCTTCCCTCCCACATCCGTTTCTTGGGTTTCCTTTACCTCGTCCTCACGGCTGCCCTGCCTCTGGACACCTGATGATCCCGCGGGAGAGGGGCTCGGGATCCCCAAGTCACTGCAGGTCAGAGCTGTGATCAAAAAGTATGGGAAAAAAACACAGCTTAACACTTCTGAGGAGGTTAAGGGGGTGGCGTAAAAAAGAAATACCAATGTTTTAATAAAAGAAGAGAGAAAAAGAGACCGAGAAAACAGATGCATGAAATCTGCTTCTAGAGTCCGAGGCTGAAGCAAAACATCATTGGAGAATGGGAGATGAAGTGGTTAAAAACAAACAAAAAAAAAGAGTCTACAAAGTTAGAGACCCTTGTGAGAATGGCAAATAAATGGCAAAGAGCTAAATAACGTGCAAAATTATGGTCATGTTGCCTGATGCAGGAAGGGAATTGCTATATTTAGTTTTAGAGCCTCAAGTAAATAATGAAAATGTGTGTAGCATCATCCTGATAGGCTTTCCTAGGGATATTTGTGAGATTTATCTTATCTGTCTCTTCCTAGAGAAAAGGGAGGCAGTAGCTTTAATGCCTGCACTTCACCGAAGCACGGAGAGAGCAGCGGATCCTACTTTATCCCCTTCCTCCAGAAGATGGCAAAAGTTAGCTGGACTGCACAGGGCTGGAGGGAGGAACTTGCTGCTTCAGGGCTGCTGCTGCATTCCCATTGCCRCTCATCCCGCTCCATTTCCCGTCACCGCCTGACGTAAGCGCTGTCCCCAACCCCGCCGAGATACTGGGGCGCTGGGAGCACCGAGCTGGGGCTCGGGCAAMAGGCGCCCACGTTGGCGGGCACCTCTGTGCCCATCAGAGAGGGCAGCCCCACGGACGTGACATGAGGTCTGGCTATAGTGGGTAGAGGAACTTGTATTTATAGAGGAATCTTGATAGAAAATAGAGGAAAAGAGAGGAATTTAATATTCGTTCCTAAACAAGGAACGAATATAAAATAAATACATATAGCAAAACATTAGATTAAGTACAGATCTGGCAATGAGAAAGCATTTTCCAGCTCAACAAAGAACACTAGAAAAAGGAATGATGTACAACAAATAAAATCAGAAGAAATACAAAATGCCCCTTTCTTTCTCATATACTTTGTTTATTTTGCTCCTATATTTAGCTGCTCTGGCAGTTTGTAGTTTCAGTATTAGGAAAATGTGAGAGCGTTTGAGTAAAGCGATACGCCGAAGTCGAGGCAGTTGAGGGGCTGTCTGCCAGCGGAGGAGAACTGAGGACTCCTTGTTCAGAGGACACTGCCGAGGTGTTTGGCCTCGGCCTAACCTGGTGCTCACCCCACAGTTAGGTTCTAAGCTGATGCCAAACACGTTTGGCCCCTCATTTTTTTTGCAGCCTAAGGATTTTCCCAGCTACAGTGATCCGTGGAGCTTGTGGCCATGTCTTGGAAGACAAGGGAGCAATGGGCCAGGCAGGAGGACACCAGAGTCACTCTTGCAAAAGGCCTTGACAACATGACACCAACCCGTGATAAGAACCCAGCAATTCAGGACAGCTACTGCCCCTCTTAAATCTCCTCTACGGGGAGGTAGGTTGTGTGCCACGCTGAGGGGAAGGTCCAGCTGGCTTCTTGCAACAGTGCAGAAATGAGGACATATGAACTGCTTTAATACTGAGTTTTGGTTTTGGACAAGGTGCTGCTGTTCATACACACGTTTGCTCCTTTGGTCAGCGTTCAGGGTGTCAGCCTCATTGCTTAAGGCTTGCAGAAAGATAATGATTATGTCCTCTGTTATGAGAAAATGTCCATGTCACAGTTGACTTCTTGGAGGTCATACCCTTATTATTCAAGCTCCCTGGAAAATTTTAGCAAAGTGATTCCCTGACCTTTCACTCCCCGAGGAAATGCAAATTTTTAAGAGGAAGAATTTGATTTTTCTTTGAAGACTTATAGTGTGTCAACATATTCTGTTTTGCCATCCAGGAGGAGAAAAAAATCTCAGTACCTCAAAATTTCTGGCTATGCGGAGTTTTGTGGATAGCAGAACTGTATAGACGAGTAATCTGGCCATTTTTAGCGAAGGAGAATCAACACCCAATGCAGGGAATGAGCCTGCATCTCCTTAATTATTATGATTCAGCAAGAGGGACGGTGAAGAATCAGTTCTGACCACGTTGCAAGACCAGCTCGTGCAGCGCTCGCCGAGCTAGTTCAATCACGCCGGCTGCGTCAGCCTGGCTTCCCCAGCTAAGAAGCAAAGGAAGCTGCGAGACAATAGCTACAGCCGTAGGAAGCTCTCTAGCCTCACCCTGGCTTCCTCTCTGCTCCACGGTATTACCTGCCTGTTTGCCTCTCTCCGCCAGGTTCACCTTCCTCTAGGCCCGGCCTTAGGAGCTCTGCTTTGGAGAGATGGAGCTGTGCGGAGGGGAGCGCTCTCGAGGTATCGTGTCCCCTGTGCTGCTGCGGGCCCTTTTGCGGCCACCCAAAGCAGGGCAGGACTCGGATATGACAGATCAGCAGAAGCTGAAGCAGTTTCTACTTCTCTGTTACACCTCACGTCAACAGGGACTTGGTGATTTATTTTTTATTCTTGCTCTTAAGCAGCTGACATTTCGGCACAGCACATTGGGGAAGTGGATTGTTTCTAAATCYGTGCCTGCAGATCTGAAAGGAGGATAAAGTGTGGGGAGATGCAGCGTGCACATTGAACGTTCTCCAGAGGGGCCGGGGCTGAGGAAATCCAACACAATGAAGCTGGGGCTGTCCTGAGAGCGCAGGCTGCTGATGGAGGGCGATAGAGCACGTATCAGCTTCGAAAGGCCAGGGRAAACTGTAGACGGTTGTGGCTGCTGCTCCAAAATCTGCTTGGCTGGGGGATCACAGATGCCACAGTAAAACACCGAAACAGTGGGCTTGTTTTGTGTGCTTGTTTGTTTTGCAGCTACTCTCCAAATATGTTATTTGTGCATTTGTCTCCATCAGGGACAGAGCCTGGYCCTCTGCCTAGGCACCTCAGCAAGAGGCCTTGGTCACTGCAGGGGCAGTTTTAGGGAAGCTGGGGAGGTTTGGAGGGCTTGTGACCAAGCTCTGCCCTGCTACAGTCCCATCACTCCATATTAGCCACAGTCTCTCCTGTATTTTCTGTCCCAGCTGTTTTCTCTTAGGTCCCTCTCACCAATCAATGAGTCACCACCAAAGGGGGTGTCTGCTGAAGGCGTCGGGGCCCTGAGGCCCTAATGACCCTAACCAGCCTCACCTGGGGCCTCTACCAGGCCCCTGCCCATTGGCCCAGGAGCCTATTTAAGCTCAGCCAGGCCCACCCCTTTTTTCCTGAGCTGTGTCCTGGGATGTTTGTCTGCTTTGGGATCCTCTGGAAGCAGCACTTGGTCAGCTGGGTGAGGTAAGAGCTGCTGGGTGGCCTCTTGACTGGGGAGAGGAGCCTTGGGAGTCCGGCCTGCTGTTTGGTCTCCTCTTTGTGAAGAGCAAGTGAATTGTGTGGGGCAGAGACAACCCCCTGGGTAAGGGCTGAGGGTTCCTGGCTGATGGTGCAGCTTGTTGTGTCCTGGGAAGCAGAGAGAAGCTGCAGAAACAAAAATGTTTTAAAAATTACTCTCTCCCTYCCAGCTCTTGTCCTGTTGTCCCTATTTTCTGTTGTTAGTTTATCTGGGTGTCGCTTCCCCTGTGTGGGCTTCTGCCTTGGCTCTGTCCCTTCTTGTTTCAGAACAGTGTCAGCTTTTGGGTCCTGCTGGCTGCTGGTTTGGTGCCTGGCGCCTTGCCAGCAATTCCCAGCTCCCGGCTGGAACGGGCTGCTATGGTGCTAGTGGGCGGCTTCATCCCTTCCTACCAAGCACCCCAGGGTGCTTGGCTGGGGGGAAGGCGCTGCGAGCCCGGCCGTTCGCGAGAGGGCGGCCGAGACCCCCGGAGAGCCCCGAACACGAGTGGGCGAAAACGGGGCTCGGAGCGGAGCCGGAGGCCGCCGCGGCGCCGCTCCCGGCCGCCAGGCGGCGCCCCGGTGTCCCGGTGTCCCGCCGCTGCGCCCCGGCCCCGGGGCCGCCCGGTGCTGCCGCCCGCCCCGCCGTTGTGCACGAAGGAGCCCCTGTTTGCAGCCGCTCGTGCTCCCGCCCAGGCTTTTCGGCAGCCCCAGCATCATCGGCGTCTTTGAGATGAAGCCGGGGGTGCCGTGGGGGTGGGCTTGGCCCCCCAGAGGCGCCTCTTCCTCACCGGGCTGCACTGGAGCATCCCGGCGGCTCTTGCACCACAGCTGTGCACTGCTGGCTTTGCTCCTGTCCGCMCCGAGCTGCTCCCAGCAGCAGCTTCAAAGGTGACTTGCTTTAATATAGTGACCTGCGAGCAGCACTGCCTGAAAATGACCTGGTTGTGCTACTTGAACTGCAATTATTTATTATGTATGTATATTGAACAAACTGGACTAGGCTTTGCTTTATCCCTGTAATTGTAATTTGGCTTGAAGTGTTTGTCAGTACAGCCAATAAATAAGGACAAAAACTAATCCCTCAGCAAGAGCTTATTCACCCAYTGCCCAGCGGTGTCTCGAATGATTTATTGGATGACTGTTTCCTGGCCATGGATAAGATAGGGTGAGCAGTGGAAGTGATATTTATTGGGATAGATTGGATCACTGATGGGAAAGCCGATCCCAGCTRCTTTTCAGCTTTGGCAAGCGTGCAGGAGACAACTCTATTTTAGAGGGTGAAATGTATGTTTCCTTAAGGATTAGCAGGGTAAAGCYAAATATGTGTGTCTTCAAGTTGACTTGTGGCTTTTATATCCTTACTTAAGGTTATCCCAACTGGCCAACACTCAGACTTTATTGAATTTTGCTTATATCATGTGGAGATTTCTTTCTCTCCAGATTTCCTTCATTGGAAGAAAGGACTGGCCATCAGTGAGTTCCCAGTTGTCAGCTCAGAGTATGTGGCCAGGACAAAGGAAAACAAGAAAGCATTTCTCATTAGCAGGAATGGTAATGTCTGACCTGTATTGATCACCACTATTTTTCTGCTTATATAGAGTGTTGATCAGGTACCAAATAGAAATACCTGCCAGTGAAGGACTTCTAAGAAAGGAAACAATATTTGAGGACTAGCAACAAATGCTGTTCTTTGTTTTGCCCTGAAATATATGTAAAAATGACTATTGAGAAGCATCTGATGAGGTTTAACATTCTGCAGTTGTATGGATGGTTTTGTTAACATTTCTGTGCTTAGTTTTTAATAGGTGAGGTTTTAAATGCTGTACATTCAAGAAAGTAGTAAGTAAACACTGRGAGCAATGAATACAGTTGAGCAAACCCATGAAAAGGCCAACATAGAACCCAAAGAGGAAAGCACCATGAAATCTTTATTAGTTTATAATTACTTTAATTACTTGGCTGTTCTGCCACGTTCTTTGTTTCTTTATGGCACCATTTTCCCAAGGGAAGCACTCTCAGTGGGAATGCAGCGAGCGGCTCCYGGGATCCGTGGCTGTCGCTTCCAGGGCAGCGTCACATCAGCAGCCGGAGCCCACGTGGCTGGTGGCTTTGCAGACGTAGTGCTGGGGTGTTTATGTGCATCTTGACTTGTTTTTCAGGATCTGTGGTTGTATCATGAAGCTTGCYGCCCAACAGCAGGAGAAAAAGCACTTGTGAGGCAGAAGGGACGCGTCACTGCAAGATGCAATTCTCCCAACCAAAGTTGAGAAGAGGCAACAACACAGTCCACTGTGCCCTTCTGCGGGCAACAAAGGTAACTTGTGTGCAACATAATGAGGACTTGTGTGTGGTAGATGGGCCATGGCTTTCAGTTGCAGGGCATTGGCATCAACAAGCGCGTGCAGTGCACAGAGATAAGAGATTTCCTGCACAAAGCAGAGAATTAGAAAGGATAGATTGTTATTGCTTACACATTACAGAACAAATACACTGGGATTAGTGCTGCAGCCTGTCACGGCCTGGGCAGGACTGTCCCTGTTTCCTTCTGGGCTGGTTTCTGCCTTGGACTTGTCCGTCAGCCTGGGAGGATGACAAAAGGCTGTGGCTCAGAGGCATCAGATACTTCATTTGGCAAATCTCCTGCCAGCCCACAGAATGGCAAGTGCTGAGGGAGAGCGGGGAGGGAAGAAGTAGGATCCACTCATAACAATTTCCTCATGGCCTGGGAGATGCATCAGGAGACCATAATGTCCAGTTCTTCATCTTCCCCTGTGCACTCCTAAAAGCCACTTATCCTTCCTTTAGGGAGGTCACTTACGTGTTTTGCAGATAAATGGCCCGCACATGCAGAGCTGTGAATAGAACCTGTGGCTTTGAGTGATGTGGTTTATCTGCTTTGATGCAGTGCCTTTTGAAACAAATCTACCTGCCAGAGCGATTGGCCTGCTGCTCGTGGTGGCTTAATCTGCTGTCTGTGTGCAGAGCCAGGGCTGGGCCCAGCGATCCCGTTTGCTGACATTCCTGTCCTCTCCCAAATGCTTGTGCAACTCTTTGGGGAGCGTGTCCTGGAGCAGGCTCTGGGTCCCACAGTTGTAGGGGGAACCTGGGAGCTCTCCTGGGAACTGAGGGACAAATGGCTCAAGCCGTGCTGTAAATCCAGGTGGGAAAAGTACAAGTTGAAGACTGACCCATGTTGTACGTGGTGCTCTGCAATGCTCCTAATCATGCCAGCTCTGATCCTGTGATGTTCCTAATGGCCATGTAGTTCAAAACTGCCCATGGAGAGTAGATCCTCTCGGGCTGATGGGGGCTCCTGTTCCTTTCTGTTTGGTGCCTTAAGCATCAGTCTTAGTAGCAGGATGATGCAGTTACCTTCATGCCTGTGCCAGTGACTCAGCCTGGACCTGATCTGCTGATTGTTGCTCCAACAGCAGCTGGTGACCACCTGGCACAGCTAGGACAGCAACAGAGTTAAGGCTACACCACTGAATTAGCCACCACCTGGGCCAAGCTGTTTAACCTTGTGGTCCTTTGAGTTACATGGGAGCATGGTCATTTTGAGTTTCCTTTCTGCTGCCTAAGGATTTAATTAGCCAGCAGCTGCAAAGCAGACAGCAATTGCTACAGAAAACTTGTGAAACAAATAGGGCTCTAGTCCTGATGGAGGTGCATCAGGAGCAGTCACGACAGGAATATATCAGAGTGATACTGTTTCTTTGTTTTAGTTTAAGCAAGGCTAATTTAATTATTACTAGCCTATGTAATCAAATGAAGTATAACTGAGTTAATATTACATCATAAGCAACAACATTCCATGCTGTGAGGATAGGAAGCAAATAAACCACCCTTGCTTTTCACGCCGAAGATGCTATCTGGCATTAGCATAGATATTGTGTGCGTAATGAAAGCCATCCTTCATGTGCAGAGCGGTGGTTGCAGCTCTCTCAATTCCCCAGCAATGGCAGACCTTGTAATGAGGAGGTTGCAGGTGATTGCAGGGGTAGGCACTGCTGCTGCTGCCAGCCCTGCAGCCGGTCCYGCAGGTCCCTGCGCAGCCGGTGCCTCGGGCAGCTCGAGCCCTGGCCGTGGGGCTTGTGCCCTGTCCTGTCCCCGTGTGGGGCACTGGAGGACTTGCTGCTGGGTATGAAGGCCCCCCCTTCCCCTGCACACAGACAGCAAGTGAGCACCCACCTTCAGGCAACGCCAGCAGCCTGAAGCACTGTGACAACCTTGGCGTCCCCAAGGTCTTCCCTGTCAACACCTCTTCATGTCTCATGTCTTGTTCCTCCCTCTCCTGCCTCAGGGACAGAGGAGGCCCTGCTGCCTTCTCGGCCACACTTGCCTTCTGGGGAGTTTATTCCCATCGCAAGGMTGCTTGTGAGACATGGCAAGATGAAAGAGCTCGGTAATGCCTAGGTGGTTTAACTGTCACACACACCTTGAGTCGCTTCCATCAGCAGCTTACCAGAATATTGGTAAATAGATGTGTTCAAAAACAAAAATGAATAAAACGGATATTTCCATGGAAGCATTTGGGCTGGTACACATGAAGCTGTGTGTTTTAGACCTGTGCATGTATTCTTGTACTGCACGAGTGTCAAGCTCCTTGACAGGAAGCTTGCCCTCTACTTGCTGCTTCTGCAGGTATGTTTATCATGCACATATGTATTGCTGCTCTAAAGTCACTGCTGTGTCCAGCAGCACCTAGGTGAGCCTCTTCAGGAAATGTGTCCAGAGCATAAGCTCATTCTGATGATTAAAGGAAGCCCAGATGAATAGGCATGCCTTAAATGGCTTGTAACAGAAGCTGAAAGGCCAGCAGCATGTGCACATCACAGACCTGTCCCTGTGTGAGTGTGACTGCCGTGGACTTGGTATCTTTAATGGGCCAGGGCTGTAGTTTGCATGCTCCAATATACTGATCTTCAAAGCAGGTGTGGTGGAGGCATTTGCTAAGTGCTAGGGCTCAGTAAGTGCTGCTTGGGAGATGACATTTGGGATTAGGGCCTTGGCAAGTGAGAAGAGGCTGGCTAGCGATGGGAGGGTAAAGACTGAGGTGAGTGGGAGCTGGAGGGTCTGTGGGGCAGAGCAGCCCCATGGTGGTGGCCCCGGGGCTGCCCTATGGGCTGTGCTTGGAGAGGCTGTTGGCTCCCAGCTCGTGCTGGCTCCGGCTCTGACCCCGGTAATAACAGAGCTAAACCTCAGGCTTGGGCCCACGGGCAGCATCAGGGCTGTTTGCAGAACAAACCCAGCGTGCTGCTGGCAGCAGGTAATTCCTCTCCTGGAGTCAGTCTATCACCACCTCTTCTTCCCTTCTTAAGTCCTTGCTTCCCAGCTGTAGAGCCAAAAACCTCATATGTCTCTTGTGTTCATAGAGCACAAAGGAGTTYTGTTACAGTTCAACAGTTCAGGTGGAAATGAACTTGCAGTGAACCTGAAAATCATACTTGTAAAGCCATTTATCAGTTATTAAAATGTGGTGTATTGACAGCCCTAGCTCTAAAGTGTCTAAATTCAAGGGTACAATACTGTCCTTTTCCCTATGTGGTATTTTCACAATGTTTACTGATTACAGTCAGAAATAAGGACCAGCAGAAAGCCTTATGGATTCCACAGGACCATCAGAATATTCCAATTCCTTATTGGCAACTATGCAGATAGCTGCTTTACCTGTTCAGATAGCGAGGACGAGCTGCTTGGGCTGTGAGCCTGCTTCCAGGAAGGTCTCCCTGCAAAGGTCCCTAAGGAAAGAACAAGGGTGGTGCCAGATAGCGGCGGGAATACAAAGGATCCTTGGAAGCTGAGACGCACATAATGTTGTCAGGATCTGAGGAATGCTAAATATGCTGATAACAGTGACACGTAGGTAAGCTGCATATGTGGCCATCAGTATAAAGGTCAGGATGGGCAGATAGGCCGTCTGCTGCTGAGTGAGATCCTGCCGTGTCCATAGAGGTTTCCTGCTGAGATCCCGCTGTGTCCGCAGAGGTTTCCTCACAGCCGAGAGGGCAAGGAGCTGAGTAAGTCTGTGTGTGTTGTCACTCTGAGGTGGCCCAGCAGGGCTGGATGCAGGGGGACAATCCACACCAGTGTTGTCTGTGCCAGGAGGCCGGTGGAGGGTGGATGAAGGATTAGTTGTTTGTTGCATGGTTCAAGTCAGTGGTTTGAACCAGGTTTTATTGGGATGGCTTGGCTGGCAGTCAGATGCAGCCTCCTGAAGGGCCTTGGCTGCTGCTTGGTTTCTTCTAGGATTTGGATTTTGCACTTGTACTGCCCTGATGTGCATGGGTTTTGACTCAGAGCAGGGTGCTCACACGGATCCTTTCAAAGCATGGCTTGACCTGGAGCTCCTGCAACAGCTGCTGGCAAAGTGTGKTCCAAGATCTGTCAGGGAGAGCTGTGCACCCAACCCTTGTGAATCCYGGTTCGGATGCAAAAGCCCCTGCAGTGTCAGTGGTGACCGGTGTCCCTGTGGGCAGAGCAGGCCGGGAATGATGGTCCCAGAGCTGCGACCTGCCGGGGCGGCGCATCCCGCTGCACCGGGGGCTTGGAGCAGGGCCGGGCTGGCCGAGTGGTGCGGAGAGCATGAGAGGGGCTGCCCGTGGGGCAGGGGCAGCGGCCTGGCTGGGCTCTGGGCCTTGCTCTGCCCCTCGCTGCCCTGGGCAGCACCCCATGCCGAGAGCCTCCTGCTCCATGCCCATGGCTAAAGGGTTGATGTGTCCGGGGGAAGCCCAGCTCCTCTTTGCTTCAGCTCCTTACAAACCTACCTTTTGCTCCCATACACGAGTGCTGCGGTCCCAGGCCCGCTGGCCTTGCGAGGGGCTGCTCTGTGCCCTTTGGGTTCCCCTCTCTTGGCGGTGCTGCCGCTGGTGAGGAAAATTCCCCCCTCGTGGTAGCGCTGCCAGGTCCCCAGGCCGCTTCCCTGAGCGGGGGGGAATGAAATAGCATTGGATGTGCTGCAGCAGGAACAAATCCGGGGGGGGGGGGGAAAAAAGCCATGGAGGCTCCAAGGGGCTGTGAGGCTGATGTGGCAGGAAGGGACAGAGCAGGGCCACCCCCAGGGCCAGAGCGGGGCTGAGGCCACTGCCCTGGGCTGCCGGCTGTGTCCAGCCACTCAGGGTGTTAATGGGAAGAATCTAGCAGTTAACTAGGGTTTCAACTATTTTTTTCCTTAAATATTTTCCGAGTGCGCTGTCCTGAACTGTAACCTCATGGTTTTTAAACAGCAGTCTTTGCTGTTTAAACAGCAGTTTTGCTGTTTTGCTGTTTAAACAGCAGTCTTTGCTCCCGCAGCAAGGTGTTTTCCCTGGCTGT